TGAACCACTGAACACACTGCAGCCCAGCTCTCTGACACTGAACCACTGAACACACTGTAGCCCAGCCCTCTGACACTGAACCACTGAACACACTGTAGCCCAGCCCTCTGACACTGAACCACTGAACACACTGTAGCCCAGCCCTCTGACACTGATACTCTGACTTTGACACCTGACAGTAGGCCAGGCTGACATTTCAGCAGCACTGTGAGGAAACTGGCATTTTGTTGAAAATTTAGCACGGAGAACTCAAAGATTCAGTATCGGACTTTTAACTTCTTGTTTTTTTTAATTAAATTTACAAAGCAGGAAAAAGGTCATATTGATTGTAAATGCTAAGCATGATAAAGGTAAAGCTCACAGGATTATATCTGACCACATTCTAACTTCTTCTTTTTCTGTTTCAGGTTATTGTCATGGCCTGCAGAGAATTCGAGATGGGAAAGGTAAAAATCTCACCCTCTCCACTGTGCCATACTGAACACATAGCAGGGCAGCACTGACACTGAACACACTGCAGGGCAGCACTGATACTGAACACACAGCAGCCCAGCACTGACACTGAGCTCCTGAACGCACTGATGCCCAGCACTGACACTGAGACACCGAACAGACTGCAGTCCAGCACTGACACTGAGCTCCTGAACGCACTGCTGCCCAGCACTTACACTGAGACACTGAACGCACTCCACTCACCTATTGAACACACTGCAGCGCAGCAACGTAGCACTGAGATACTGATCAGACTGCAGCCCATGACTCTGACACATTGAAAACATAGCAGCCCAATATTGACACTGAGCGCACTGATTTCATTGGTATACGATTTTACCTAACTACTGTGTCTTCTTGATCTTTTGTTTTTCAAAGAAAAAATGTGAGCGTTACTGGCCAGAGCTCAATGAGACATCCACGTTTGACCCTTTTCTTGTGTCATGCGTAAGTGTAACTACTGGTGTTTGTGTCTACTCTGTTATGTGCTAGGTGTTCTGTAATACAGGTGTTATGCCATACATACTTTTGGTTCCATGTGCATGTGCTAGTATAAAATGGCATCCTTGTCATTTTGGTACCAGCTTTATAGCTCATTTTCACTGGTTTCTGATTCAGACTCACGAGTGGCAGGAGTGGCAGTAGTGGACAAGAGTTCCCCCTAGTTGTAACTGTTCAGTGGGATCTGGTGAAACTCAGTTTTACAGGTTGGAAATATGTCCATTGATGATGCTGAACAAAATGTTTGCAACCATTTCGGCACAGATAATTCAATTTTAAACCAAACATTACTGATTATCCCCTAATGAAGACCGCATGATGACACTGCTTACAGATCAATATATATGGCGTCCCGTAGACTGTTATATTTTTATTTCTTTTTATCACTCATATGAGTATGAATGTTGCCAAGCTGGAGGTCTGGATTTTAGAGCTCCTTATGCAGCCAGTAAAGTACTCAGATGCACCACTGTACCCAGGCAGCTCTTTGTAGTACTGAAAGCTGCTCACGCTGAGAAGTAACTCAGCAAGCGCTGGCACTGTCAGCATGAAGCCGGGGGGATGTGTCTCCCTCACAGCAGACCAGCCCCTCACTCGCAGTCTTTGTTTCCCAGCTGGAGGAATCGTCGCCGAACAAGGAGGTGATTGTGCGCACCCTTAATGTGCAGTTTCAGGGGGTGAGTATGGACGGCCTTGTGCTGTTGTAGTCAGTGTATCTCCGCCAGCCTCTGGGCTGCAGTCCAGCCCACCTCTCACTTGATTGCACCAATTATTGTATTGATTGGTGAGATGGATCTGAGCTCAGGCCTCTTGGTGAAGACTCTTCTGAGTCCATTGGTACTAGGATTGCAATGCAGCAAAATATCATTCAGATTCTAGAGCTGCCTGTAGTCAGTAGTCACCTATACTCAGGTGTGGCCTTACAAGACAGGGCCCCAGCTTAATTAGAACATCAGCCCCTTAGTGAATTCCAAACCTTCACCAAGAAGAAAACAGTTCTGCATCAGCAGGAGAGAAGTACCAGCCAAGCCGGTACACAACTGGATGAAGGGCACAGTGTATTCAGAGTTGGAATTTGTATTTGTAGGGCAGTGAGTCTTAGAAAAAGGAATCAATTCAATGTAGAATAATAGATTGCAAACAGTCACAAAGCTGTAGTTGTAAGATATTGAATATTTGAGTAAAGCTAAAATGCATAAAAACGAATCCATAGCTAGTAAGGAGAAGAGTGTAAAAGATCAGGAGGATGCAGTTTGAAGGCACGGACAGCAGGTTAAGGGTTAAGGGAGCAGAGAGGTTGTATCATGGCGATACCTTAAGGCCTTCAAAGGCATCTGGGTTTCAAAAGGGGAAGCACCTACCTACGTTACCCTGTTCTGAGTGTGTTGGTGCACACATTCCTCTCCAGGACACACACAGCGTCTCGCAGTTCCAGTACACAGCCTGGCCTGACCATGGCATCCCAAACTCAGCAGACAGCATCCTGGGAATGATGAAGATGGCCCATTCCAAGCAAGGGAACGACACTGCCCCCATTCTGGTCCACTGCAGGTCCGTTCCGAGCGTGGGCACGCGTGTCGCTTGTGTCATGTGTCAGAACACAGGCGTGTTTGGACACCTGTCAGATATTTTACCCCGGTGCCGGATTAAATCAAACTTGATCCCCTTGGTGATGCCAGGTTAGAAGCTCAGTACTTTACAGGTTTTGTCCATCTAGACGGGATAAATGCAAGCCTGCCGTCACACACTGGGTCATTCTCAGATGGGATGAAATTATGATTTAATCCTGGCCTTAGATTAGCAACTGTGGGGTTCATTTCTGATCCTGATCTACCAAGTGTCTCCCCTAACCTTTCAGTTTTATCCTATCAGGGGGCAGGCGAACATAATTTATTGTGGTTCACTGTGCCATTTTACAAATGAAGAAGTAGTGTGTTTATCTGATTGAACTACCGCTTCTGGGTACAAGTTATTTCAAACTGAAACTATCCACCTTTGTATCAGAAGGCATTTTTGTGTTGTTTGCGTTTTACTGATCTTTTCCACAAATTGCTCTCTGCACTACAGTGATGTAGTGTCATGACAACTTGACAACACGTGAGGATCTGTCCACACCAGCCAGCTGCCTGTACAGAAAGGCTTAGTGACACTTTACACCTGTATTGTGTGTTTTGAATTGTGTATGGTGTGTTGTGTCTTTTACACCTGTATTGAATATTAGGAAAAGACCCAGATGCATGGGTCCAGCCCAGCACCGCTGCAGGAGTGTGAAGTGAACTGCGATATTCTTTGTGTCTCTTGCAGCGCTGGATGTGGCAGAACTGGGGTGATCTGCACCATCGATTACATCCACGACCTCCTGCAGACTCGGGTACAGTGAGAAACCCTCAGGGGTCTGTTCAATAAGGAACTGCAGTGTAGCTGGGCCCCACCCACAACAACATCACTGGGGCACTCTGCATCATGATACAGTATTCCACACTGTCACTGGGGCGATCTGCATCATGATACAGTATTCCACACTGTCACGGGGACGATCTGCATCATGATACAGTATTCCACACTGTCACGGGGATGATCTGCATCATGATACAGTATTCCACACTGTCACAGGGACGATCTGCATCTTAATACAGTATACCAGACTATCACTGGGACGATCTGCATCATGATACAGTATTCCACACTGTCAC